ACGATTGTTGTCTGTAATGATTACATAACATAAGTAATCAGTGAGTTATCAGGGACTCAGATTCACAGTTAGTATAGTATAGTATGTGTTTTGTTGGTAAATGAGGTCTCCTTATGAGCCCTTCCCAAAAGCGCTGGACTCCGACCTCTTGCGCTCAGAACACACGCACAGTATTACGTGTGACACTCAAGAGGTGGACATTATTTCCAGATATTATCTAATGTTTGTCTAAATGAACCACTATATTGAGAGCAATCAACAAACAAATAATACTCAATACATATACCAAATGTCGTCTACACTACACATAAGAGATACTGTATTTAGCGCTAAGAATTAAGCTTAGAGTGGAAATTGTGGGGGAATTGTATTTATAATTAAATTCTCTATTCATTCCCAGAGTTGAAGGACTTTTTAAATGTCAGACTTAGAGCTCACATCCATTTCGTGCACAAAATCTCCTCTTAATTGTCAGTTGAGGCTATGATTTGTTAGATTCTGATTCTTGTTATTTGGTTCAGATTCCCATCAGTTTTTCGTTAATAATCTCAAGTCTTACACTCCTAGACATTATTTGTTTGAATCATGTTTAAGACACTATTTAACTAATAGTTTCAATGATTTCAATTCGGAGGCAATTTTGTGCCAAACATGTGATGAGTAACTCATGGTATGTGTCACCGGATTTCGTATAAGAATGCAATAGAGTCTAGTTTTGGACAAAATTCAAAAATGGTGTTCACGAGTGAAGTCAATGTATTTTTCAGTTTAAAACATTATTAGTTGAACACAAAATCTAAATTTAGTCAAAATTTTTATTCGTTTTATTAACACAGAAGTCAATGTCTTTATAAAGTTTTTCCTATTTCTTTAATATTCAAAACAAATATTGGCACACATTTTTCAAACATATTTATTACTGTCATAGTACTAATGTTAATAAATCAATTTTTACATATAATTTGTCAAATAGTTTCAATAATTCTTGGATGTTTGTATAATTCATAGCAATTCCCGTCAGTTTAGTTCAATTCTTTCAATTTTTGTTTTTGTTTATTATTGAGTCGATGCCATAAAAGTTTATTTTTTATAGTTATTTTATTCTTATAGTTTACAAAATTTGAGTGCATTTTGAAATTTAAACAAAGGGTTTGCAAATGCGAGAAAAGGTCACTACAGTAGAGTTGCATCCCAACCCAATCCTATGCAATACAGTATTATAAAAGAGTTATGCAATGATTGGCTTGTTTTGCAGGAAATGTAAATTGTGTGGATTTGTTAATATCTTGCGGAGCATTGCTCAACACATATGACTGCAACTTCGGTATAATTAATATAAGCTTATATTGAATATAATATACAATAAGAATATTCTGTGATCTCAAAGGAACACCACTTCACGCTTCGGTTTTTCAGAACCGATACAAATGTGTGAAACGGTTACTGCAGGCCGGGGCTAACGTAAATGCCCTCAAATTTCATGAGTCCCCACTACACCTGGCTGTGTCCATGGGTCATATGGAAAGTGCGTTAGAATTGCTGAGATTTGGCGCAAACCCTAGTCTAACCAACAATCAGAATAGAAAACCCATTGAATTGTTGTCACAAAAAAGTGGTCCACTCTATGAAGCCCTCGTTGTTGCCGAAAAACATCCGCCGCTTCTACAAGACCTCTGCAGACAGGCTTTGGTCAGGAATCAAACGCTTAAAAAACTCAATTCTCTCTATTATTTACCACAATATCTAACCGATTACATCAATTTCAATCTATAAACATATCTTGTATTCATTAAATACTGTCATTCATACACTCACTGCACGAACGAATTGTTTTTCTCTATTTATAAATCAATTTACTTAAACCCCAATCATTAACGATAAGACATGACAGGCCTTTGAATGAGTGCACAGGTATACCGTATTCCATACATTCAATACCAGTTGATTTGCATATTATTAGCATCATTTGAAAAGCAATCAATAATTGGTTATTATTTAAATGGATTGTCACTTAGTATTAAAATTGACAACAGTTATTGTCAATATAATTATCTTTTATCACAAATTATATAAATCTATATTATACTATATAATACAGTACGGGAATAAGGAAATGCAATACTGTATAACACAACCCCCTAATCAGCTCCGGGCAGACACTATGGATTACATGTACACCGATGACTTGTTCACCAATTTTACTGTAGATATCTGTAATCAAAATCAGGCCATCGATGACTGGCGACAGACTTTTGTGTCTCTTTGCTTAACACTAAAGTCAATATTTACTGATTTCTGATTCACAGTAGTCATAAATATATATAGGTTTCGGTTTTTATAATTTTATTTAATATTTAAAACATATGTGATTAATTATTTTTGTATAAAAATACACATAAAATATATTTCTGTGAATAAAAAATGTTTAACAAATCGTAATTTTATTTGAATTGCAATTAGAGAAGGGCTGTGAGACAGGAATTGTCGGAATAGAAGGCAATTAACGACTGTTTGATGAGTTGAGTCGATTCTACTGTCGACTCATTTCTGTCTAAAATAGAGTTCATATTCTCTATTAATGGCAATAAATCGACGAATGATTTGCCTTTCTTTAGACTCTGGAGTTTATTGAGGGCTGACTTATACACTGTATTGAGATCTGCGTTCAGAGGACTCGACCGAGAGATGCAATCATTCAGATGTTTGATTCCATGCAGTGACAGACAGAGTATCAAAACCGTACACCTTTTGAGAGTAACAGTGCCGTCAAGAATAACACAATACCGTAATTACTTCGAGTTTACAAACCTTTCAGAAAATGACTTTCGATTGGTCCGCATGAATGAGAGGAATCCCTGGTATACCGTTTCCTCGACCACATCGAACAAAGTCTTACAAAACTTGTGAATGCATTGAATCAATTCAATGGACTCGTGTTCCGTATCCACCAAACTCTCACTTATTGTCAATATTTTAAACCAAAGCAACAGAACTTTGGATTCATCGTCAGCACTAGAATTGAATTTAGTTTTAAATCATTTACAATAATATCCACGCATTGCATATAAAGTCTACTCACGTGGGTCTCAACTGCGAGCACCAGTTCATCAAATTGCAAGCAAACCGTTTCGTGTCCTCAATGACCGCTAATTTACTCAACAAATGTATGGTTAGAGTGAGGGAAGCATTTCTGGTAACACAGGCCACCATAAAGTCTTCGCTATTGTTTGGGATCTCAAATACTCGCATCAAATTGGAAACGTTTCCTATTTTGAGTGAATTGAGATTTAATTCAAACAAAATGATCGCATAAACGGAACAAACCTTCGGCTTTGAAGAAGTTATTAATATATGTCTCGATTAGAGATAAATAGCTGGCGATATGTTTGACTGTCTGACACGTCGATTGAATCAAATCACAGATAATGTTTGGATTTTCAAAGTTAAAACACAAGGCGTACTGTTCGGACACTATTTTTCTGATCTCTTCATTGGGGATATCATTCAAACACATTAGAAGTTCTTTGAAAAGGATTAGTCGTTCGCTGCCATCAATATCTGTGAACACAATCATAAGAATAACTATAAAAATCGATACAATACTACAAATAAGTTGATGAGTTAACCAATACCTGACTGGAAGGCAGGTCTCAAGTCTTCAAAGCAAGTGGTTATGAATTTGCGGATTTCAAGGGGATATTTAGTGACCAAATCATTGTCACCGGTACTCAATTCTTTAATAAGGAATGAGATACAGTTGGCGTAATACCTGTGCTTTAAAAACCAGTTCTCGTCCATGACATCAGTGTCACAGAGAAGACAAATCTGTTTGAGTAAACTCAACAGAAAACTGTGACTCGTGTTATTGGATTCAAAGAAATATGACTTCAATTTGATTACACGAACAATCACTTGACTAATAGATTGCACTTTATTTGCCGTCAATAACTCGAATGGAATCGATTCCATATCCACTTCGACCTGTATTTTGGTAATTGTTTGTTCATAATTGCAATTATATTGTCATTTAATTTCTAAGACTAACCAAACATTTTTGGGAAGAGAGCGAAACCATTGTATAAGACATGTTCTCCACTATTAAAGCCATTTGTTCGGTGGTTAATGACTGGTTCTTAAGTGTATGTCTCCAATCAATTTTGGTGAACACATATGCAATAAATGGCTCAATAGAGTACTGGTCTTGGATGACAGCCTAACAAACATATCGATAATAATTGAATTTATGAAAATAATCAAGGAGAAATCTTTGAGAAGCCATACCTCATACATAAGCTTAATATCAATAACATTGGGACAAAACTTATTCCAATTCAATGTCTGGATTTTGTTTTGAATCAAAACCAGATCTTTAGCATCAATTGCTTTGGTAGAGATCACATAAGAGAGGACAACCTGCCAGACACACGACAGTACACTCGACAGCATACCTGTCATTAAATTGTAATTTTAAGCTTAAAGTTATTAAAGAATATTCTGTAATGTATGGTAATAATAGACATACCCTGAAAGCATTCTATGAAATAGTTAACATTAATGAGAAAGAGATCCCAAACCAACTTGAAATTGTCGGCACTTATGAAACGTGTGGACCGCTTAGGAAAGAGCCACACATTCCAGTTGTCATAGAAAGGACGCCAAACATTGAGAATATCACCTTTTCATAGATCAGTGTTTAATTAGTTAACGTTATATTGACATAAGTTGTGACATACAGGGAGGCATCCGGGAGTTGGCGTTCAGCCAACAGAACGAAAGCGTCGATATTAATGTCAAATATCTCTTAATGTAAAGCTTAAAGTGGTCCAGAAATTCAAGTGATATCTCACGGTAGGCCTCAGCCATTTGAGTCGACATCAACGATAAGATGTCAAAGAGCTATAAATTATTACAGAAATTAACTAAATATAGCAAATAATTAACTCAATATACGAGAACCTCATTGGCTGTAAACAATGGCTGATTATTAGAGTATTTCTTTAGTTCGACATAAAAGTCAGACAAATCCATGTCTTCTTGAGTTATGAAGAAACCAAATGAAAGCAAAACATCGTTCCAAAGACACGGCGCTATTGACTGCTCTCTCATTCCTACAAATAATTGTTTTCTTTAAGATATATATTTGGCTTATTTATAGACATTAATTGAATACTTGAGAGAAGAATTGTGAACACTTCCGGCAAATATTGTGGGAAATGATATATTAGAGAGTACTGTAAGTGCTTTCGGTATAACTGTAAACAAAATTACAATTTATTGGCTATTATTTTTCAATTTGTTTTAAAATTGATAATATTTTACCCCAAAAACCATTGAATATTCCTCTTTTGGTTTATTCCCGAAACTATTGAGAGCATTGCCTAACAATTGAATTAATGTTAAGCACTGTTCATGCGATGCATTTCTGAACCAAAGTGAGACATCAAACTATTGGATCAATTAATTTATGTTCAAATCAATTAAGTTTGCAAATACAGTATCAAAGAATTGGATAATTTGAGAAATTTGTACAAACGATAACATACTTTACTGAGAAGTACGAACGACACCTGAGCCGGAGTTTTTGTAATCTTTTGCTCAATTAGTTGATACATATCGAGGAAACACTGAGAAGAGGTCTTAGAGGGCTTTAGACGTGGCGCCATATATTCAATTATTTTGGGATAATTTATAGCCGTTTCCAAAACAAATTTATTCGTTTCATCGCAACGTATTTCTGCGATCTTTTAATTAAGTAATTAATTAAATTATTTTCATATAAATACCGGTATTGATAACATACCGATCCTAAGGAGTCGAGCAAATTAGTGAACATTCGTTTAGAGGGCGGATACATATAATTGGTGTCATTAATCCACGACAATATTGAGCCCAACAGTGATCTCTCTATCTGATTGTCTTCAATATGGAAATCATACGATTCTATCAATATTCTGGAAATTTAATTCAAAATTAGAGATCAATTTGAGTGAAACAATGGATAACTAACGGAATGGCTTTCTCTATGAAAAGTGAGGCCAAAACCACTTTATTAGACGGCGTTTCGATCAGTTGTGAGATTGTATTCTCGAAGTCAATTCGGTTTCTTTCGATAGACTTCAATGAGTGTTGATTTAGAGTCGCTTCGATGAACTGATTGTTAAAATTAAATATTAATATTAAATTCAAACTACAATTAACTACAAAATAATACTTCAATGTTGAAGAGCGCGGGTCCGGTGCAGCCGTTCGGATCGTAGCTGTCTTTCTCGCAAGAAATCTTCAATTTTATCTAAAATTTAAACCCATTTATGAAAACCTAATAATCATTATCTAATTCAATATAAGACTCACTTCTTTCTTAATGTTAGGGTAGAGATCAGGCAATCTGTCTTTCTCGCAAGAAATCTTCAATTTTATCTAAAATTTAAACCCATTTATGAAAACCTAATAATCATTATCTAATTCAATATAAGACTCACTTCTTTCTTAATGTTAGGGTAGAGATCAGGCAATGATTGCATCAAATTCTTATTCAAATCATCAAACTTTTGTAATAAATTTTCAAAGAATCTGTAAAATGAATAGAATATTAGTTATGAGTGATTGGTATGAATGTCGTGTCTGTATCTCACTTCGCCTCTTCCAACACGACTCTCACGTTATGCTGAATTAGCAGCAGAAGAGCCGAACTGTTTTCAATGGATTTAATGTTTACATTAAACGAATCCAGGTTCGTCTTCTTCACTTCAGGTATATTTAGCGGCAATTCGTCTGCAATTAAATCATATTTAATTGATCCTCACATTTACAGTACTGTACAACAAATTTACCCTCAATTTTAATAATCTTCTCATCGCTTCCACAATCAATGTTTGAAATAAGAGAAGTTGAATGCAATTCAAGCCATAAGTCATATATTCTCGAGGCTTCCATTTGAATGCGCTTTATATCAATATATTTATCACAAAAGTCGGGATATTCTGTGTTAGATATGGCACATCTGAGCAAATCTTTGAGATATTGCGCCGGGAGTTCATCCGTGTTCACAAAAACTTCATGTAATTGCGAGTCATCTAACCATAGGATGTAAGCCCTGTATAGTTTGGTCAACTGATCGTCTATTGTGTTTAGTTGGCTCTCATTTGGATCACTTTTAAGCCATTGATTGTGATGGAAATCAATTAAAGCATTCAGTTTTGTTACCAATTTTTTACGCTTTTCATCGCTAATAAAATTCTGTCCAACAGAACGACTGGAATCACTGCTCGAAAAGAATAATTGAAAGAATTTGAACCAAACAAACGGCTCTAATTCGTTGGGAGGTTTGGCCACAGAATTAGTCGCGAGGGTTGACCACGAATTGATTGGAAGTAATGGCAATGGAATGACAGAAGAGCTTTCTTTCTGACAAACCGACTAAATATGATATCATTTAATGAATAAATAATTTTTTAAAGTCAAACAATAGTCAAACCTTAACGACTGCTTCTACAGTGAATTCCGTACTTTCGCTGATTTCGTGGACAATCTTCTCCCATATTTTGTCGAACCGAAGGGCATCTGTTTGTATGAAAAGCCATGCGAGCCATACATTACTGGCATTTTGTTTGTAAATCAAGTGGAAAGGAGTAATCCATTCGCACTTCTGATTAGATTTTGAGCCCCAACTGAATACGGATGAAAACCATCCGGATGTCTGCAGTTTCCACGACTGGATGTCGAATGGATTTTCAGTCAAATACTTGAAATACAACTCTTTAAGGTTTTGGTCCAAATATAGCAAAACTGCAATCTTTTCAAATATATAAGCGATTTGTTGTAGTCTTGAGGCACCGGAACTAAACCATGAGTTGGCGTTCACTCGTAATATAGAGCCAATCACTTCAAACATGATTTCAGTCCAACAAATAAGAAGTTTGAGTTTATTTTGTTTATTCGAAAACTTCGACAACTGATGGCATATCATTGGAACCAAGTCTTCGTTGCGTTCAGTGAATAACTGACTCCAAAGATTCAATAGTTTTGAATTTGAAATGAATGTCTCGTATTGTTTCAAATGGAATGGTATTAAAGAATATAAAATATGAATTGTCGGGAAATTGTGTTGATTTGTTAACAACACTTCCAGCGATTCAATTATTTTATCCAGAGATCGACTATAAATTGAATAATCATTAGTAAATAATGGGAAAACAATTTTGATTAAAAAAACAAACTTTTGTCCGAAGTCTGTCATTGTGAGCGCTAAATATAAGGCCATTGGGTTCTGCTCTTCGACGGCTCTACAAATTGGTATCAGATTTGTATCGAAATGCAATTGAAGAATATTATCTCCACTTTGGTTGGAATCTAATTTATCGTCAAATATAAAGTCCCAGTCCTTGTCGTCAATTTCTAATGAATGCAATTTCAAAACAATCATTTGATTCCAAACCCATTTAGTGAAGTCAATGGGATTAATAGATTTGGCTAAAGATAGTAAAGCATTGCTTCCAAACTCTTTGCAGTTACTCTTAAGGCAGTCCTTTTGAGTTTTCATCAATGAATGACCGTTTATAGCGGCAAACAATTCAATGGCAAGCTTTCGGTGTTTTCCGATTTCAATAAACAATTCTTTATTCGAGTCATAAGACCAGTTGAGTCGAGAGAATGTAATTCTGGCGATTCTGTTCAGCAAATGCTCGATTGGATAAGCGATCAGCCATTCAGTTAACAACTCGATGTCATCGTTGTCTGGATTCCACAAATGAATGGGTAGTTCGCAGAATAAGTCAATGCATACCTGATTATAATAATAAGAGTTAAATTGTGATACGTTTTATGACAAACTTATAAAATGATTACTTCATTATTAGAGTCGTGTTCTAGAAGTTGGCGAATAAGTACTTTAAATAGTGAGTTATATCGAGTGATTAGTTTCACAACAATTGTTTTTCCTTTTTCAGTCATATTATCACTTAATTGAGGCGTTTGTAAAGAGATCTCAAAAATCTCTTTAATAATAGTAGAAATATATTCTTTTTCTGTGGACTCATTCCTCGAGACCGACATATTATACAACAGACACAACAAATTCTGCGATTCACTGACTGTAAGTGAGCTTAACTTCTCTTTGAACAGATACTGAACCGTCACTTCTTGAAACTTATTCTTCCAGTAATTGACACTAAAATAAGGACAAAGACCGCCCAATTCGTCCAATTCATCCCTTCCATTGTTATACACGACCCAAAGGATGTGCCACATCATCGACTCAGACACGCCATCGAATGGGAACACCGACAGGAATGTCCAGACGCCTTGTCTATTGGTCGTCAATATGGCGATCATTGACCTCAACATGAAGTGATCGAATTCCACTTGAAGTCGAAGAATCATCGCCTGATCTCCGGACACGAACTCATTCTTACAACTGACCCAAAGATCAGAAACGGCTAACACTGTTCGCCTGAAATGACATCATTTTTAGTTGTTTTCAGACATTTATGTTCTCGTAATTAAATAATTACTGACCTAATCATTGAACTGATATAAATAGTCAACTCTTTAAATCGCAAACAATTAAAACTATGCAATCCTTGTCGCAGAATTTGAATCAATTTTGTACTGAAAGCTAACAGTTTAAGCATTTTTAGTTCAGTCGCCTCTCCATAAGAATTGCTGTTAGAATACTCTGTAATTAAATCATTCAAATGTTAGATAATTTTATAAGAAAAAGTCGTAAATGTGAGACCATTTGAGTTTTTATTCATAGACACGTATTTCAAGACATCATTGAAAGGAACCTGTTTTAGGAAACGGATGACATCTAATTCGGCAATTTGTAGGTAACTATTGGTCACATCTTCGCCCTGTTTTCGCATTCATTTAATGTTAATGTGTTTGTGTTTAACAGTTTACAAAACATACACTCATATCGGGATCGACCAAAAGCCAGGTCTCATCGTTGTTTGCAATACTCTTTTTGTCGCTTTTTGTAATTCCAATAAACTTTTCTCGCAATCTATTGAATCGATTTTATTGGTTAAAAGGAATTTAATGAATATTTTCATTACTTTATCGGCGATAAAATGGTTGAAATAACAGTCACGCAGTGATTCATATACTGATTGGCCAGTTCTGGATCAGAAGTGTTCAATGGGTTTGGGCATTGGATCAGACATGTGGACCAAACTGAACACCCGGCCGCACATCTAAGCACATGATTTAGTAGAAACAAATGGTCGTCCAGTGTTGCCATTGATATGAATTGCGATGACTTTTGAGATAAATGTCATTAATTAATTATAAATGAATGCAAAGCAATGCATACTATATTCAAGAGCCAGTTAAGTGTGATTTTATTGAGTTCTTTGTCGCGCATTATTAGACACCGTCTCTGATAGGAAAACAGGTCTGAAATAGCGTTTCGTAATTGTGTTGATTTGTGGCTCAAATCCATTTCATTCATCATATCTGTCATGAAGTTCTCGATCTCGAGGCGAACGAATTGAGACAAATAAAAGTTTATGCAATTGTCGTTTGAAATGCACTCTTTGAGCCACAGGAGAGTGTTATCCAATTGCTTGATATTGTCTTTATTGAGAACCGATTCGTTGTATTTGTGGAGCGCTTCCACCACTCGGCCATCCGAACAGCGGCCAGACTTCGCGATCGTCTTAGGCTTCAGATACCATACCTTCTCCTGAAGAGCGTCACCAGAATTCTTCAATTCTTCCACTTTATTGTTCGTGTCTTTATGTCTTTCGCGACATTTCTCTAACTCTACCAAAAGCTCATATAATCTGTTGCTATCGTTGCGAACATTTTTCTATGAATATACACAAGAATAATACAGACATTGTATCATATATTTTACAATTTATTCAATAAAGTAGACTAACTTATAAGCAATAAATTATTAGTGAATATGTGATATACATTTAATTTGAATGTTAAGTATTCAGGTACAATTTATAAGCATTAATATTGCTTATAAGCATAAGCGATTGCAATGATTCATTGCCAATGAATATATCATTTGGTGAACGCGTGGATAACAAGCTATCAAACGCCTACCAAACATAATATAAAATTTTGCAAATAAAATCTTGCAGGCTCATTTCTAAACAATAAGCAAGCGTATTACTAATACGCTACATACATTTTAATTAATTTATATTAAATTTATTTTGTATGAAATATTTTGTGACAAAATTATGAAAACTTTGCCACAGAATCAACACTTAATAATTATTTGATAAAAGTTTGGATACTTTTGTGAAAAAGTGTTTATTCGTAAACATAAGACATATATCCATGAAATGTAAGCCATGTTATGACTCAAACAAAATCGATGGCAAAATATCTTCGCCTAAATGGATGGCAATGAATGAGACAATGGATGGACACAAACCTCAACGAAGTGTTCAATGAAGAGTTGGTTTGAGTCCAACTGATTGTTGTTATAAAGTGTCAATAACTGGGATTCAGTGAACGGACGGATTGTCCGCAGTTTGTCCACAGATTGCAGACAATCAGTCGATGGCAACGAATCCATTGTGGGATCAATTGGTGCACTGATGGGCACATCCAGTGAAACGTATGCCTCAAACACTTGAGACAAATGTAAACAAAATGTTTTGTCAAACAATCACATGATTTGTGTTTTGATTGCCTTTTAATATGACGTCACTGTCGGCGACTCCCATTGGCTGACACGCTATGCATTCAATGCCTGTTATGTATAGGTTTGCATTGACTTACATAACAATCCAATCGAGTCATACACTCTCTATTGAAATGCACTCACTATTAGCGACGTCTAGTGTTTACACGAGTCGTTTGCAGTCAATGCAATGGTGTACNGGGCAAAACCACTTGCCTTTGGGTTTGGTGTTGAGTGAGACACAGGAGAAGTGAAACCATTCAATCTTACAGTCAGTGTTATCGCAACAAATCATTTCGCCGAAGGAGACCTGTTCGCAGAGGCAGTACGTGGGCTCATCCGGGTCTATGGGCGCCCCCTCGTACAGGTTGGGCGGCGAGTTCACCCCCATTAGCAGACTGTTGTTACTGCTGTTGGAGTTAGTGATCGAGTTCTTGCTTCTCTTCATCTCTTTGTGCGATGACTTCATCCCTCTCTTGACGGCCCGTTTCGAGGGATTGTCGCCATTGTTGTCGTGATTAGAGCGCGAAGTGGTGTTACGTCTGGCGGACGCCCTCTTCCCCGAAGAGTTCGAGTTGTCGTTCGAGAGTCCGTTTGAGTTGCCGTTCGGCACCTCTTTGGCAGTCGACTCCTGGCATGTGTTCTGAACGGCAGCCGTCGTGTTGGCAACGGTTCCGCCACTCGTTGTGCTCTCCGTCCGCTGTGTCGACGAGTATCCGGAGGTCACCAAAGAGGACGTGCTCTGCAACTGAACCCTCGAGTTGTTGGTCTGATTGGACGACGAGTTGAATAAAGTGACGGAACGGTAATCAAAGTCCAATTGTCGGGCCTTTGAGTCCAACTGATCCAAAATGGATTGAATGAGAAGCAGCTTCTCGTCGGCGATCTCCTGGATCTCAATCAGACTTCTCTGCACTTTGAGTAAAGCGTTTCGTTTGCGTAACTCATTGGTCGACGGGTTGGACAGGAGGTCCAGTTGGCTCTTCAGCAGTTCCAGCAGTTGATGGTATCGGTGGTTATGTTCGTGCAGTTGAGTCATCTGTCGGGCGATATCGTTGGGCACGTTGTCCACCAAATCCATGTAGTCTTCGATGTATTGCGCGATTGAATGGATGGGCGACTCAGCCATCGATGAAGACATGAGCGAAGAGCCCGAAGACATCCACAACTTGGCGCTCATCTCAGCATCACTTGTGGGACACCACGAGACACACGAAAGGGTTGACCACTCGTGAGGCAAACACAACACAACACTTCCAATGGTTTGTTGTTTTCGTCCCAATATTTGACGTCAAATCCAAACCATATTTTTTGTCACTTTTGTCAGACATGTGTCAACACTTCCACTAATTATGTCCACAATTACCACATCCACTACACTCTTGTCTCATCTCTACAAACCACTTGTGTCTCAAATATATTCATTTTATTATTTATTATTCACTTGTAATTCATATTTGAGTTGAGATTATAAACAAATATAGTTTTAATTAAAAATATTATTAAAACTAATTTTAACGAAATTAACGTAATTTATGGCATCATAAGTGCAATTGTTTTGAAGGATTGGGAAGATTTGAGTTACGGAGACGAGTCATACAAACATACACTCCATTGCATTGCTGTTCAATATATGACTCACTTTCATAGCGACATCTAGTGTTAGCCAATGAGTACACCATTGCATTGACTGCAAACGACTCGTGTAAACACTAGACGTCGCTAATAGTGAGTGCATTTCAATAGAGAGTGTATGACTCGATTGGATTGTTATGTAAGTCAATGCAAACCTATANGACTCACTTTCATAGCGACATCTAGTGTTAGCCAATGAGTACACCATTGCATTGACTGCAAACGACTCGTGTAAACACTAGACGTCGCTAATAGTGAGTGCATTTCAATAGAGAGTGTATGACTCGATTGGATTGTTATGTAAGTCAATGCAAACCTATACATAACAGGCATTGAATGCATAGCGTGTCAGCCAATGGGAGTCGCCGACAGTGACGTCATATTAAAAGGCAATCAAAACACAAATCATGTGATTGTTTGACAAAACATTTTGTTTACATTTGTCTCAAGTGTTTGAGGCATACGTTTCACTGGATGTGCCCATCAGTGCACCAATTGATCCCACAATGGATTCGTTGCCATCGACTGATTGTCTGCAATCTGTGGACAAACTGCGGACAATCCGTCCGTTCACTGAATCCCAGTTATTGACACTTTATAACAACAATCAGTTGGACTCAAACCAACTCTTCATTGAACACTTCGTTGAGGTTTGTGTCCATCCATTGTCTCATTCATTGCCATCCATTTAGGCGAAGATATTTTGCC